CGTGCTAAATTAAAAAAATACGCATATAAAAGAGCACCAACCCAACTTGTTTTAAATATGAGTATGTACGTTATAAAAAAAGTCGTTGCGAAGTGCACAGATGCTTTTTCGTTATACGAAATTATAATAAAGAAGAAAAAAAGAATTTATTTTATGTTCCCGTCTGATGGCAATTGAACCCGGACCCTCTTGGCCGCAACCAATTGTATCAAGCGTCTTTGCACACTCAGCTACAGCCATACATGCAAATGTGTTTTCAAATTTTGAGTTTGAATCAACATCACAGCACGCGATTAGTTCATTTGTACAGATAAACATGTACCATGTACATATGTGTGTATGTGTTGTCACCGCTGTGCATTATTTGTATACATATACTTTCTTAATTACATATGAAAAAGCATACGAGACGTGCAAAACGCCATCCGTACAGTGAGAAATGCTTCATTTTAATACAGGCGTATTTGAATTCAATATTTCCATTATACGTAGTGTATGTATAATGGAAAAATCCATTTCGTTACACTTTTCACTAGATTTAAATACGAGCATTTTTAAATGGTAATCAAATAAAAAATGTTTATTCTTGCAACGCGTTTTTTTCCTCAGTGTAGGAGTTGCTATAATCGAGTTCGTGCCTTAAGTCTTTTGATATTCAACTGAGAGGAAAGTTTAGTAAGCGCTTTGTATTTGTTAATAATAAATCAATGTTAGCGATAATTCCAGATTAATACAAAAGAAAACGTGGCGCGTTTTTGATCGCTAATACGTACTTTTTTAATATTCTTATTAGTGTATCGAAATGTATCAACGTTTAAGGAAGAATGTTAATCTTAGTTTCAAATGTCGGAGCCTTTTATTTGTAATAAAAGAGGATGGTGCTCTTCCAGATTAAGGGAAACTGGTCTCTCATTTATGAGCTAAACATTGAAAGCGCTAACTATTAGAAGTTATCAACTAACACGTAAAAAAAGTATACATACTTATTGCTGTTGTGTTGTTACCAAATCATCAAATATGCATAGAAACGTATCATCTCCCTTAATTGCTTATTACATGAAGAGCGCAGTTGTTGTATATTGATTAGCGCAAGTGTTATCCAATATTTAAAAAAAAATTACTAAGTATAAATAAAATATTTTAAAAATCAGTTATTTGTTGATTGCTTTAGCAACGATGCAATCACTTATAGGCACGACATTAAATGCATGACTACGAAAAAATAAAACACATCCAGTTGAGGGTGTAGGAAATAATTAATAATAATAGAATATTGGCGCTTACACTTTTGTTGAGTATTTGGCCGAGCTTCTCCTT